TTCTCTTCATTACACAACAGAATTGTGATATTATCGAATTTATATCTTATTCATTATAATGTATTGGAATATATAATCATTAGAAATCTTTCTATATTCATAAAATTTTTGCATTATGAATATGATAATGTTCGTAATGACAAATAAAATAATATTAATGTTTTTGATTCAAATGAAAATACTAATTCGAATAATGTCAATATTTGTGTGCTCGAGGGGACATCAATATTATTTTAATTATTATGTTATTCTTCATGAGAAATATTGACATTATTCAAATTGATATTTTTCTTCTGCATGAAAAACATCAATATTAATTTGTTCTATATGACGAACATTACCATATTCATAATGTAAAAATTTGATGAATATACAATAAATCCTGATGATAATGAGCAAAAAAATATTTGCAATTGATTTTAACAGTGAATGTTGCCGATTTTTCATAGACTGTTTTTATCAAGTTAGACTTCTCTAGAAAGTTTGATTCTGATGTTAAAAGATAAAGAACTACGTATAAAGTTTATTACTATGTTTTCTTTCAAATCAACATTTGTCGTTCCTTTATAGCATTAATTACTCAACTAAAACACCCGATACGGGTAAAAATCAATTTTTGCTAAGTTAGGTTAAGTTTAAAATTTTCTCTTCTATACAAAGATATGTAGAATTCTTTCATGTATCTATTATTCACCAATGCCTTCAAAAATTGGCCTAAGAAAAATAAAAGTTTTTGTATAAATAGATGCCGAATTTCAAGTCCTACAGAACGTACTTCTTTTTCTAATCGCTAATGAACTTGAAATATTCTTTTTGACATGAAAAGATGGCAACAATTGATAGTTAAGGTATATTTTATATGCGATTTTTTAAATAGTAAAGCTTTCCACAAAACTTTGACTGTATGTCTAAAAGAATAAATGGAACGAAAAATGCTTATTTAAAAAAGAACATATCAATAAATTCTACACCAAATTTTCTATCTTCTAGCATTCACATTAAACTTTTCAGTCGAGTTTAATTTGAGATAATAGCTCATCAAAAACTGACAATGTTTTCTGTTGGATTCGTTATTCTAGTAAAACATCTTGTATTAAGATTTGTAATTAGATCTTGGTTGAATTGTATACAGGGTCGAAAAAGAACCACTAGAATCCATTTATGGATGGCCGTAAATAGTCCATCTGATCTAGAATTTGATGCTAAATATGGATATGAAATCAGATTTTGAACAAGATATGTCACATTTTTTGTATGTCAATCGCATCAGATTCATCTACATTCCAAAATCTAATTAGAGATCTTAGTATAAAAATTTTCAAGATCTGTTCATTTTTTCTATGCTTTGTATCCTGACCAAGATCTTGCACTTTATTAAAACCTGCCTTCTAATTGTTGTTTAACATATTTAAAAGTAAGTACGTAAAATATGACAAAGAAAATATTAGATTCAGTATGGTTCAAACAATTGATTAATATTGTGAAACTATTATAATAATATTCTTGTTAATAGTAAAAATTTGTCTAATCTATAGTAACTTTTTATATAATCAATTATTTATTTTCCTTTCTCTTCATTCATGTAATCACGTATAAATCAGTATCGGTGATATAAGTCGGTTCGATTCTTTTACCGACAGAAGTGACGTCAGTTCTTCAAGATTTGACAAAATGTTTTTAATGAGAAACACTTCAATTTAGGAAATGTTATCTGTTGAAGCGATCAGAAATTCAATTGCATTTTTTTTTTGTTCAAATACAACAATGAATTCTACTTACTGCACGATCTATATTAGATGATGGATCGAAATTTGTAAGTATATGGCTAATCAATTTGAACAAAGAGACTAGATATGCATCAAGAAGAGAAAAACAATCATCGAACGTATTGGCACATATGCTCGATTTAGTCAAAGTCGAAGATGCACAGTTTGTTGAGGATATAATATAAATTAAAATTTTTAGATTTCAGCCACTAAATCGCTGATTAATAGTTAAAAGATTTAGATGTTGACATTTAGATAAGATCAATGAAACTATTTCAGATTTATGTTTCATGCAATAATCTGATATTATTTTATCGTTAATAACAATATCAAGAGACATGATTTCATCAGTAATGAGACAATGAAGATTTGTATCATCTTACATATACAAATAAATATCATCATTGAATTTTTAATCACGTAAATATTTTGCTAATTTAAAAATTATACCTATTAAATATCGCAATATTATTTCTTGTAGAAAATTCACAACCGATAACAAAAATGAATTTGTGGTAAGATTGTTTTACAAATTCGATTGAAACTTTAACGATTAGTTGGAGAAGTCTCATCAAATAATGATTCTCTTGTTCAATAAAAGTCATGAATATAAAAAAAGAATCAAGTAATAATTGATCAAATTGTTGATTTACATACACTAGTGAATATAACCAATACATCGATCTGATTGATTTTGTTGATAATTAGTATTCGCGTTATTATTTAAAGTGCTCATATTAAAATTAACATTGTCCAATAACTTTCATAGCTCGTTCAATAATAACTCATCTTGATTGGCGACTATACGAACAATGACATCTTCATGTGAAACACCGACGAGCGAGCCGACGTTCATGATTTTTCTGCCAGCACTTTTTTTTAGTTCTCACGTATTGATTCTTTCGATCACAATGTATGTGTCGATACTTTTATTATACATCATATATATTATAAGAATGAAAAAATAAAGTGTCCAATTTGGTTTTTTTAGAAGTGTTACCGATTTATTAAAAAAACACAAGGATTATTAGAAGCCTAACTTATGGACAGATGTTATATCCCATGATCTCAGAATAGAGTCCTGCAGCCCGACTTGACTTTCAAGTGGACACCAATTGAATTTTGTCCCGTTGATTTTTCACTCTCTAAATATTTTTCTACGATTTTTTTAAAAGTCAGTGTGTGAAAAATCTACCAGTGCATGCTATTCATACATACAATAGGTGTAGGTTCACTAATTTTGAAAGATTTAACAATTTATTGTTCTACTCCACAATATAAGCGAATTCACAGGAAGGAGTCTGTGGATAAGGGTAGGTGTGAGCAATGAGATCCACACCCACACTCTACACCCTTTTTCTTTGTTTCTATTCTTGATAAAGTTGTAAACGACTAATAAACCAATACAGTTTTAAGCCATTATAAGTGGAAGTTTCTGGAACAATCCAACTATGATTGTTTAATAAACACTTAGACTCCTCCTTGTTATTAGGTTTTCGAGTAACTTCCCTACTCTTCTATAAGAAATCCCAAAATTTCATACTTATCACTAGTATTATCAAGTTCTATCTACCACAAACGTTCTTTTTGTCAGTACAACTTCAGGAGCAAACATTTGCAAGCATTTTTTCATTTTTCACTCAAACCAATTCCTCAAATGAGTTTCTCAATTTGAGAGGAAATTTCTGTAAAAAATATTCTAAATTTCTCCATGCATTATCCATAAAACCCCAATGAATCCTCGGGTACAATTTAGTACGCGTACATTCTTAAAAAACACAAATTCGCTGAAACTCATCTAACTTGAGCAATTGTTACAAAACAACAAAGAGAAACGTTATTGAGATGCCATCGAATACCAACTATATTAAACCGCATGTCTATTTTCTGTCTAATAACTATCCATGAGTCTATCTCTATATGATAGAATATCTAATAAATCAGCTAGTTCAAGTAATTAGAAAGTCAGTGCAGATCAATGTGCAAATGTCAGCAAGAAAAACTCGAATACGCTGCTATCTTTTCTTTCGTTATTTAAGAAACCTATTGTAACAGGTAACATCATCAGATAAATGGAATGATTTTGTTAGATTTCAAAACAAGTTTTATTGTGTTTCATATTGATTCATCGTATTGTTTTAATCGAGAATAAGACTATTAGTATTAATATCCTAAGTTTATGAGGGAGTGAGTATAGGTAGATCTGTATGCCTTGTCTTGATCCACAACTACACCAAGATCGACTGACAACGCTTGAGTTGTAGCTTCAACTTTTGGCATCACTACACTGAAAAAAAATTGGTACCATACCGAACCATTTTTTGCAACGAATTCGAAATATTTAAAAAGGTTTTGTGAAAAATCAAGATAGTCTCAAAATGATTGTCAAGAGTCCACAAAGATTTTTCATAGGTTTGCCACGAAACCTCAGAAAGATTTCGATTTCGTTGCAAATTTCGAAACCTTTTTTTAAGTTTCATAGCATGTACTAAACTTTTTTTAAGTTACGTACTTGTGTTCGAACCTTTGTTAAAGTTTCGTAGCGAGTACGAAATCATTTTTGGTTCCGTATGGTACCTAAATTTTTTTTTGCAGAGTGGAAGGGCTCAGGTAACGATTTTATCTAGTAGTTAATTATACCCTCACATTGTAAGTAGGAGTCCACTGATACAAACATTTGTGGGGTGTAGGTTAATGAAATTCTTCTTTTTATTTGTCTTGCCGTCAATGATAAGAATGAAACCACAGATTTATTATTATCCGAATGAAATATTGAAAAAAAACAAAATTTTGAATGAAGCGAAGCTTGCAAAAGCACTCATAGTTTGTGTTGCATTAGAATTGAGACCTTTTTTTGAAATATTACGAGCAACTAATTGAATTACCAATGCAATATTTTTTTTCTCCAATTCTGTTGGATGACAACACATGACCATTGCAATTTAATGAGATTTTGCACTGCAGAAAATAAAGAATGATTTTGTAGGGTATGCATATGAAAAAGAAGCCCTTTGTAGAATAGTGATTATGTAGGGGTCTTGTGTGTGTGCAACACAAGAAGATTTTTAGCTTCCTCTCGTGCATTGAATTTTCATACCTAATCAACGAAAGACGGTGTGCAAAATCATAATTTTCGATTCGTAGTATTTTTCGCCTGATAATCTTCACATTACTATTCGAAAGTTATTCATAATTGAAAGTTAAAATACAATTGAAATCTATTGATAAAAAACAATGGTATTGAGTCGTCATTCCTCAGTAAAACGACCTCGTGTCATTAGGCTGCGTCCTCATCGTCGAACGCAGTCTCATCAATCTCATGTAAGTTTCTATATTTTCTCAAACATCATAATGGACAAGATATCTATGATAATGTTCTACAGAGACTTCAACATTCATCAAAAATCAGCACTACACTCAATTTCGTTATTCGTGATCAATGTCATTCATCAGCAGAAAACCATCGTACAAACCAAAATAAGGTATTTAATTGTTAGAACAATATTTATATACTTCAAAATTACTCACGATACTGGTGTTAGAAACTCAAAAAAAACGAAGGGATTTAATATCTATGTAGAAGTCTAGAATTTATACCTTAACCCTTTCTTGCCCTATGGTTCCTATAGAGACCATTTTATAAAAATTTGATTCTCTTGAACTATGAAACATTTAGAAATAGATTTTTGTATCAATTTATAGCCTATCTATTGTAGGCTTCACATCAACAGGCTGATTCATAAAACTAATTTTTTTGACTTTGCTGAATATATAATGTTATGGCACACACTATAATCGTGCCATAAGAGAAAGACTTGTTTATTGTAGTTTATTGATATTATTGGGAGTATATATTCTCTTCTTTTCTTTTTCTATTCTGCTGTCAAGTGCTGATAATGGCGTATGTCACGTTTTTCTCTTCTCCTGTACGTTTAAATATATTTATATGTATTTTTATTCCTCTTTATTTGACTGAAGAAATGTAAACTTTAGCTTTGCTACGCTGAAACCGATCATTTCGAATTATACGATCAGTTACAAGAATAGTTCTTTTAAATTTCTAAATGGACAACAACGCGACTAATGCATTTATATGAATCACATTATCGTTCCCGCTTTGTTGTAAATTCCAGAAATTTTTCAAATAAACAAGAATAGCGAATGCGTTACGTTGACAGATTTGGTTCAAACTTCTCCTGTGTATTTTAGAGGCCATAAGATTGATATTATTGAGCGAATTGTCCTTTTGAATCGTCAGATTTAGCCAAAAGCAAGAAAGAGTTAACATGATACCACGTATTCAACTAACCCATATATTTTTCTTTTTTTCCTAAACTTACATGAAAGTGTCTTCTCATTTTCTTTCCATTTATATTTGAAGTGAAGCTAAGCATTTAAATCTTCAATTAATTATATTTGAACGCGAATCCGACAACTCATGATTCTATGGTAGTCTAAAATATCTATTTGATTGAGTTATAGGCGTATATTGGTTTCATCTCGAATCCCTTGATAGCTACAAAGTATAGATATCTGACTTTTTTTTTTACATTTCTTGAATGGCTTTTTTTCTTTGATATTTCTTCATTTTCCTTAAATTCCTTGATTCCTATGGATTCAGTGGGACTGCGCATAGGTGTGGATGTAGGTTTTTTGTCATTTCTACACCTAGGGATGTAACAATGCAGCGGTTCACTGGTCGATTTTTAGTTGATTTCTGTGACGACGGCACATAAATGATAACGATAACTTTTGAAGTCAATTTTTCGGTTAGGAGTGACCTGTATTGTGAAAATAACATTCTTTTTACGAACTTCCATGAAAGATTTTTTGGATGAGAGCATGGGAAAATAAGGTTGATGATCAGTGTTTTAGCACTGCTGGCTTCGCTTAGCAGAAAGATATGTGAATAATGAAAAATCAATCATTACCGTAGATTTCGAATGCATTAGCTGGCTTCACCAGTTTTAATTCTGATGCCTGAAACTGCATCCTCGCATCATTCTAGCAAGCTTCGACATTTTCTAACATCTTTACACTAGCAGATACCAGTTTGCGCTGTACTCAGTATGCGCTTATTGTCTTAATCATCAACATCGCCATTCTTTACTCAATAATTACACTAATTTTAGCAAGTCGCTGATGGATCCTGACACCTAGAGATTTGCCGACTCTAACTTCGATTTTTGACTTGAGATCGGTCGGAATTAGTTAAAATCATGGTTCATTGTATCACAATTTCAATCAATCGGAAATTGAATTGAGTAAAGGTGAGGAGTGATGGTTACGCTGATAGTTACTGAGTAATTGAAAATTCTTGCACTGGATTCTTTCGTCACAGCAACATTACTATATGGACATAACGATTATTTATAAAGTTTGACTCGGTACTTCACTTCTCTGTCAAGCCATCTCTACCCTGAAAATCTTTGATAAAACTTCATAAAAAATCGTTAATTTCCCAAAGAACCATTTTGCAAGCAAAAAAATTGAGTACAAAATTTTGAGAAAGTGATTACAGATTCGAATACCTCGACCCTGAATACATTCTGTCAAACTTTATAAAAAAAAAACGTTATTATCCTAATATAATCTTGTCTTAACGAAAGAATCAAACTCAAGAATTTTTCGTCACTCAGTAACTGGAGAAGTAACTATCTATGTAACAGTAACTTCGCATCTTTAACCGATTCCAATTCCGTTTAGGCCAAAATTGGAATTTGTACATCTCTAATAAAAGCCATCGTTGTACATTTGGATTGGTGCCACCAACGGGCCGGTGGGCCACCGTCACTGTAGCATCCCTATCTACATTCACATTCACAGCCAAGTAATCAACTTTGAAAGAAATATTTTATGTGAAAAGTTTTCCCTCCTCCACTTTTTTTTTCTTGCCTACTCATTATGGACAAAGCTTTTAAACCATTGTAATTTCTAATCAATCGGAAGTGTTCTCGACACATTCTGACATTTTTCTAAAATTACAATATCATTTTGTTTCCTTTATGTGAATGATTATCACAGTCAACCGACAATGAACAGAACAATGATCGATGTAGCAAAGAAAAGTCCAGCATTTCAGATGTAGAGCTAGGTAATACACATTTATCAACAACACCATTCAAGATGTTATCCGCTAAGAGTGAACCTCAATTAAGTGCACATGAACGTGATCTAAGTGCTACCAAAGTTCATGATTCCAAATCAGTGAGTTTATTTTTCATTTCAAGCATTAAACTTCTTTTCTGTGAAAGAACTCCTTTGGACGATTAAGTCAAATAGTTCCTGCGCAAGATACTCCTCAAATACAAAGCCGAGAGAAGAAGCACAAAAAACGAAAGTCAGTTATTCATATATCTTTCTATAATCGTCTAACGTTTTCTATAGATATTTTGGTGGTTATTGTCGCATATGTTCTCCTTGTTGTTTATTTTTCTCGGTACTGGCTTTTCTATTGGTTGGCACAGCAATTAGTGTCATTGTTATTGAATTATTGACCAAATCCAAGTCAATAACAACAACAATAGGAACAACCACAGAAACAACAATAACAACAGAAACAACAATAACAACAGAAATAACAACAACAACCGAAACAGCAACAACAACAGAAACAACAACAACAACAACAACAACAACAACATCAACATCAACATCAACATCAACATCAACAACAACAACAACATCAACAACAACAACAACAACAACAACAACAACATCAACAACAACAACATCAACAACAACAACAACAACAACAACAAAAACAACAGAAACAACAGGAACAACAACAACGACAACAACTTCTACAACCACTACGACACTCTTTAGTAGGTCTTCTAACGTCAATATCATAATTATATCACTTCTGATTCAGAAATTCCGTCAGTTTATCTGTGAGGAGTAAAGAGAAAGTATGTGCATCCTATGCACTCACCCTGATTTATGGACTGTAGCTTGATATGTTGTTCACCAATACGGACAGACACTAATATTGATTAAGCCATTGTGAAACGTCAAAGCGAAACTTAAAATATCTTTGATCCCAAGAGCATCAGTTGTCAAATCTCATTACTATTCATGGAAGAAAATCATCGTTAGTCGCGTTTTTTAAATTTTACTATAGTTTCATGGAAAAATACCACGCTGTCATTTCGATAACCGATGTGAATCGCAGTTTTTATTGCACCACTCTAAACTAAAATTGCGATATACTAACTGATAACTGCGTTTTTGTGTATAACGAAAATTATCGGCTTTAGATACCGTAGTCTGCTAATGGATAGCTGCAGATGGTTATACAGCAGTAATTACCGGTTTTAAATATGGTAGTATGGTTACTGATAATCACGTTTGGGGTATAGAAGCAGCTATCCGTTTCAAATACGATCGATATCGCTTGAATATTCTGGTTAGAATTTTCTAATTGAAATGGCGATATCTGTTGCTAGGGTTAGTGATCATATTCTTAAACCGCAGTATAGAATACTACGCAGAGTAGCAATTTTTCAAATCGTGATGCTCTTGATATAAACACAGTATCTGCTGTGAGAGTTTGTGATAATTTTTGATAGTTTGACGGTCCTGCTTGACACCGTGATACTGAGTAGCGGGGTGAGTGGGAATTTTCTAAATGATGGTGATCTAAGTTGTAATTACATTATCTGATTCTCAAGTTTTTAAACGTGTCAAATACCGAGATAAAGTTAACCATAGTCAAGGTTCGTCATTATGAGCTATTTGATAGACAGTTTTCAGTAGAATCCTGGTTTCTCATACCCCGGTATTTATATGAGAAACTACAGTTTTTGAGATTGATGTGCATCTAATTTCCATTCTAATGTTTAGACATTTTGTGCAGTACGTATTAAAGTATGAGGCAATGTGGAAGAACGGCAAGGGTACTACGTGTAACTATATCTAATATATTTTAATGGCAGCTTATCTGAACTTTACTAAAAGTTCAGGTAGGCCTAGTCATCATGACTCAAGTAAGCTGAGTCAGAGTACGCTCATAAAAAGTCGCGGTGTACCGAGATTAAAAACTGGCGGAAGTCAGACCGTCTATTCAGCTTTTCAATATGCTTTTATAAAGCATCATAAGGAAACCGTCATTTGAAGCGGCTTTAAAACGCCAAGTAAAAGGTTTGACTTTCGTGGTTCACAAGAACCGCTTCAAACCACGGTTTCAATAAACTTTATTCAAAAATATTTCCGTGGATAGAATAGCGTTTGTCTTATATACGACGTGCTTGCAAAGTCTTGTAGGACTTGTTAAAAGAGGATGTGGCGTGTCGGTCAGAGCGGATGAAAAAATACACACCCACCCTGTTAATAATTGTTACAAAAAAACATTTCGCAACGTTACTTTGGGTTTGTATAAATCTTCTATTGTCTAGTATCCTATGCTAATATGGTGGTCAATGGTGATGGTGAAACAGGTTCTTGTGCAACGGATTCAAGTATCACTAGTCCTACGGGATGGAACTCTGATGGAGAAATCACACAACTCGCTTACAACAACAGTGTCATCTACAGCAGAGTAAAAACTATTCCTGCGACTGCGTAAGATGAATATGAACTTTCTTTTATTGATTATGTTTCTTCAGTAATGCAGGTAATTGCTTATTCTATGGAAACACAGATGCAAACACATCAATATGGCAAACAATCAATCTGACTAATTACGCTGATTCTTCTCTCATCGATAGTCAGACAGTGAAATTTAATCTTTCAGCATGGCTTGGTGGCTTTTCGACTCATAATGATACGGCTACAGTTTTCATAACTTTTTTTGATCAAAACAATCAAAAAGTAGGAAATGTATCCAGTATCGGACCTGTTACCAATACTGATCGACAAAATGTAACATCATTTCTCTTTCGGCAAACGATCGGTCTTGTGCCTGCCGGGGCTCGTTCAGTAACAGTGTTTGTTGTAATTTCTCGTAGTATTGGACCTATCAGTGATGGCTATGCCGATAACATCAATGTCTTCTTATACCAATGATGAAGAAAAAATAAATTTGTGCTAGTGTAAAAGACTCTTATATATTAAATTGATTTTTTTGAAAAAAAAAACATCATCTGGTGTATCTTTTTTCCACGGTACTAACTAAACCCTGAATAAGCGCACTAGAGAAAAAGCAAATGTACATATGTACAGATTGCTATGGATAAAGTTTTTGTAATAAAAACTGTTACACAGAGAAAACACTTAAGATAGCTAGATAGATTGAATTCGAGTTTCGTTCGACAACGAAATATGGTGTGAATCTTTCAACACATATCGATTATCGAGAAAGAGTATGGGCATGGATTTGGATGTGAGTGAAGGGGAAACAAATACTTATACCTTCACCCTACTTTTTGACGCAGGTGGAATTTTTCGATCAATCAAATATCTATTATTTAAGGGAAATTGGTGTTAAAGACATTGTACTTATTGAAAAAGTAATATCTCATTTAAAAAATACAGTCATTAAAATAAATTTCACAAAATATTCAAGACAATTATATGAACGAATACATAAAGAAGGAAATAATATCAGTAAAACATCAAAACTTTTTAATAGTGTAAGTTTATCTTTGTCGTAGGCTTTATTGAAATAGGTATTTTATGAGTAATTCAGATACATGATCGACTTCATGCATTCTTGCAGCAACATTCTATAATAAAAGCATTTTACATACGAGCAGCGGATCAAGTTTTGTGAAATGAAAATTTTCAAATATTCCATTAAAATGATACTCTCTGATATAGTTATTTTCGATAAAAAAAAAAGTATGAATAAATTTTGTTCGAAAAATTTCCTCAAACCTCTACAATAAAAATAGCTCTAAGAGTAATAATTACTGAAAACGATGTTTTCCGTAAAAAAAAAAACGAGAATTTCAAAAATATAGTATTTTCAACGTTAAATTAAGGGTGTAGGTGTGTAGAATACTAATGCCCACACCCAGACGAGCACATCCACCCTTCCTCATATGTTTTGTTTTATAACTTGATTTATACTTGACTGGGTGATACATTCATATTATTAAAAGTTTTCAAGAATAGAATATATTAAAATGAAAAAGACAAATATCGTTCATATTCATACCAGAGATCGTCATAGGATAGGACAAAAAAAACGTGCCTGTGACGGTTTCTGATTCATAGTATTCTAACAAAACAATAGATGAAATTTTTAATTTATAGATAAAATCATCTTCAGAGCTGAGACTATCTTTTTTTGAGAGAACACGAAAAGGACACTCTCTAATACTATCACTGACGTTCTTGAATCGACTAATCAAGGTATTATCATGGTATTTTCATTTTACTTTCTCATATACCACTTAATCGATTCCTCATTGTTTATCTTCTGTGACAATACGGGAAAATGTCACTCGTACTATAGAATATTGGTATTCCAATGACTTTGAGTCGTATAATCTTATCACTTAATGTCTGATCTTTTATTAGATCGTAAGTAGATTGATGTTTAAAAAGTGTTAATGGTTGAAGAATGTCAATATCAATGATTTTTTAGTCAAATTTTTCAATTGAACATTTACACAATATGTGGTGTTATGTGATGATTATTTTTCTTTCTCAAATGTTTGTTTGTCTTCGATATTCTTCTTCAATACAATGATATCGTACTTGAGTAGAAATAAAAATTACCTTATATAATTTATTGACTTACTTTCTCTCTATTGTTCGTCTCGTTTTGTTGCTAATGATTATCATTCAATAGGTTGACGATCATTAATGGTTAGTTCGCAAAGACAATATCAGACAAGTCTATCTAAGATTTATTTTCTAGGATAAAAATATTTTATTCTTCACAATTGCAGATATCAATCATAAAAACATAATAAATATCGTTTTCTTCAATGAAATATTTTAACAATAATTAGTACTTTTGTCTTGAAATGTTTATGCAAAAGTATTCATATAAACTTTAATATAGAAAGTTACTAATGTATTCAAACATCGAATCAAAGAAGATATCTGTTAAGAATATTCTTAGTTTTTTTTTTGACATATTGTTCTGTTTGATAAACAAAAGAATAATTGAGAGGAAGACTGACTCTTCTTATCATTCTTGCTTCGGAGCAGTTATTGTAATAGAACGTTGATGAAATATGATTCAATATTGATCTGATAGAGAAGTATTTCATTTGTTCAAAATCATCAACTCTATTTAGGATTGTTTCAGTCAAATGTGCACTATCAATAGTCAATTGCAAACATAAATTAGCAGATAGTATTGATGAAAAATGTCATTTTGTCTCTGTATGATTCAATAGTTCTATTGTGAGGATAAGCATGGTTATTCTATCTTTTCTGATCACTGTTGTCAAGTAAATCAAAGTCAATATTGTGTATGTGCTATGTTCAAATGTACATCATGGGTTAAATTTGATTATTCATCAAAATAATTCAGTTTTGTGAAAAATGATTTGTATCTTAATCAAATTATCTATTCAAACTTTATTGCTTCTAGTTAAAACCATTAGAACAAAGATGATAGTCCATTGTCGTCTCGGACACAGCGACGATATCATTCCTTTATCTACTCGATTGAAAAGATCAGAACAAGAATTAGCTGTTACTCTTTAGAAGTAATTACTGTTGATCAACTATTCGAATACTTATAAGGATGATCATTTTGAATGAATAGATGTTCTCATTTGAGAGAAACCATTCTAGCAGTACTGTCTTCAGATCTTAGGTATTGTTGGCTGAGATTATCGATTGGAATCTACTGAATTGTTAGTCTGATTGACAATGCAATTATTGTCAAACATTTGTTTCTCTTTTTCACATGTCATTCATAGGTAAAACGACTTGAGTCAATCGTCATTCAAATGTCCGTTGGTCAATTTATTATGAATTTCGTCATTTCAAATCATTTGAATACAAATAAATCCTTTCGAGGAATATTTTCTTCATTACTTGTCAAATTAAAATTATTGCCTATACAACGATGAGCCTGACAGAGAGATATCCTAATAATAGATTTTTATATAAAAATATATACATGTAGAAAATATTCAAGGACGGTAGACTTCAATCATTATCACGATCGATCAATGACATCATAGAGAAAGGGATTCAAATTGATTTATTGAACCGTTGTCGATTAAAATAATGAATTACTTCATATTGCCTGGAAAATAAATCGAAAACTTGAACTATAACATGAAGAATCTATAGGGATAGATTTAGCTCTGATTGTTGAGAATGCAGGGCGAGAAGGGAAAGCGAAGCAAAGTATAACTCTAGTTATATATATATATATGCATCGTTTCGTCGAATTAAGACGCTATTTAGTGAGTACGTATATTTTATTGATTTAATTTATTGAGTTTAGATATAGAGAATTGACAAGAAAAAGAAAAAGAAAGATGTATGAGAGAATGAATGTTTTATGAAATTCACCGTGTCCAATTGAATGGTTGGATTTGCTTGTACAGTGGATGGGCACTGAAAGAAAAAAAGATAGATTGTATAGAATAGTTTCACAAGTCCGATTGAATAGTAATGAAATGAAGTAATAATCTCTACAGTGAGAGAATGCAACATACCCACTTTACTGATTACTCTTTTCGACTATATTTCTCTATTCAGCAACTAGATGCATACAAATCAACTAATAATGTTGATCACAAGACTAATGAATGATTCAAACAAATACTTCATACCAAAGTTAAGTTCTCTCAAAGTTAAACGAATGAAAATATTGACATCTTCAACGATCACATGATGCATGAATAACTCTTAATAAATGTCGGTTTGTATGTTTCGGTGCCTCTTAAAGAGAAGATGTACCATTCATTATACAATTGCCAATCACACAGTAGATGCATCGATCTTACCAAGTTTCTAATGAAATGTTTTGTTTAATTGATATCAAAAGTTCTATATAGACAATTAATTCAAAGATTACACAGCAAATGAATAATTCAGAAGAATAAATGTTCATTCAAATAATTCACTCACATCAAATCTAAACATTGAATTTTCCAATAAATTGAATGATTATCTAATCAATGGCTAGTTGAAATTATTAGAATTCCTATCAAATATGTTTTTCGATTTCAAACAGCAGTTCTAAGCCGCTGAAGAAATGTCAAATAACATAACAAATGAATAGTTGGTAATAGGAAAATGTTATTCAAATATTTTCCTCATATTGAACATACAGGTTGAAATTGGTATCCAATATAAAGATCCTCTAACAAATAAATATGCTCTAACAAACCTCTATTCAAGTAATTCTCTTATTTATTACAAATGCAACTGGACAGAAGACTCGTTCACATAGATGTGAAAAATGAACGATTCAAACAACGTTTCATCTCACATACTTTGATTTCTTTGTATAAAACATTGTTTATCGAAAATAAACTCGATGATCACCTGGAATATGACTATTTCATAGTAAGATCGCCAATCATCTTATCAAATATCTTATGCATACAGTACAATTGATGTACAAATTCTCTTATGATTCAAAATCATCTTGAAAATGAATCATTCGAACAGCAACGAAACATTGATTCAAATATTTCTCAATTTTCAAGTCAAAGAGTGAGGATTTGTAACATAGTGAATTATCACATGACATGTCAACTAATCATACCAAACTTCTATTCAAATATTTCTATCATTTTCAATCGAAAATGTGGAATTTCTAGTCTATTGAAGTGATACATGATTGATACACAGGTTCTACCAAATTTTCATTCACATATTTTGTTCTTTACAAACAAAAAAGAACAGGTCCTGTATCAAGGGTAACAATCAAATGACATATGAATAGACCATAAAAAGATTCTATCCATCTATTACACATAATCTGTATTGAAGATTCGACAATTGTCATAGGTTGAACTAATATACGATAGAAAAATAATTCCTAGCACCAAAATTCTATTCATATAAGTTTCTCATTTCATATCGAAGATTTGTCATCTATAACAGACGAAATGATGACAACGAAGATCAACAATTGGCAGAACGCATATGTGTCGATTCCGATACGTTATCGACTGTAATTAAAAGGTATCGACTGATCTAATAATTGATGATCATGTAAAATTCGAGTTCTTTGTACATGTGCCACCAACAAGCTTCTGTTCAAATATTTCGTCGATTTTTAGGCGATCATTCACAATCAGCAATGAAAGACTGCGATCACACCTTAATAGAATTCTTTCTATCAAAATTTAATATCAATATTTCGCGAATGAATAGTCAATCTTTAGTATGAATACAATAATCAAAGTTGATTCGCTATCAGAATTATTCATAGAGAATTTTCATTCATATATATATGATTCTCATTTTAGAAGACATCTCAATAAATCATATCTTCATGTATTTCAATGCAAGTGAATATCTTCACAATCATGATTTCATTCAAATATTTTATTCATCCTCTTAGCTCTATGATCGACGTCCATCGCAGCTGAAGATACGTGGAAGATAAATAAAGCATACTGTCACGACGTGACATATCAAGCCATTCACGCATAGTATACTTTGGTTTCTGGAAATAGTCGCCTCTCTTCATCTCATCGCTTCTCCCCATAGTACTGCT